CCCCCCCCCAAAAAAAAAGGTTACGCTATCTTAGTTGAAGTACACATCCACAGAGAAAAACTTATTTGAGGACGTGACATGCATATGGTTAGTTTCTTAATAAGACCAAAATGTTTTAGCTCAATGCGGACGCGGGATGGGCCGCATAATATCACACGGTAGGCGGAAAAGATTATCCAGTTGCTGACAAATAGCCGATGCAAGTGTCACGCAGAGTACGTTTTAATATCTGTGACAGGTTTGCATTTGCTGCATGTACATACAAGGCCAGGAAAAAACGAGATGAGAATGAGAAAAAACAGCTCGGGTGGTCACGAGGAAAGGCGCAACTTATAAAGGGCTTTGTGATACACGTATAAACATAAGCACGCAACCATGTACATAAACAATAATGGGGGCTTCATAAACAAATACACGAACGACAAAAAGTCTTTGGTTAACTTAAAATTGCCTCACAAATTCAATTTCACCGGTAAAACAAGAAGTACCTATCAAGTTGACATCAACTCATTTTGCTGCTCTTAGATTTCCCGCGTTGATTTTGTTCGAAATAGAACAAGGGGGTTCGACGTCTTCGATCCGGAAAGGTTCAATGCAAGGAGCAGCAAAAAAAAAAGAAGGAAAAAAAAAGAAAACCAAGCCTGTTTTATTGTGCACTAGTAACTGAATATAAACATTACGTTGATGAATTTCTACATTTACCTCGGTAATAAAGGTCGTGAAAACGTACCTGTTCTACTTAACCGCACTGTCGGAAAGTCACGGATAACCTCCTTGGTCAGACACACCAGTCAAAGTCCTATTTCTCCGGTAGTTCTCGAAGCTGTTGTGATCCCTCGACGGTCATACTAGCTTAAGACTTGAATCGGGGGAAGAACGTTTTCAGCCCGATGGCCGTCCTGCGTATGCCTGGCGTTGAGTCTAGGTAACTTTAATTTGATAAGCAGCACTGATTTCAGGATATCATGTGCCAAACCAAGGCCAAAATAATTCGTAATCGTGGTTAGCCTTGGGTGAACTACTATCTGGCGGTAGCAGATACATTTCCGTTATGTACCGTTATTATGCAGAAATCCGATCCCCCCGTGCACTGACCGTCTAAAAATGGCTGCGGGGGTTTTCCGTCTCGAACAAGGACACGCTTTGGCAACTTGACCTTGTAAGTCCTAAAGAAAGCGTCCAACACACGCGTTAACAGCCACAAATGTAAATGACATAGTACTGGAACTTAGTGGAAGGAATACTGTGCTGTAAAGCGATATAAATTGCGTTTTGAAAGGCCGACCGCCGGACAGGTGTGTACTGTGGCAGTCCCAAGGCTGTGATGATGGACTTGACATATCAGGTTACCGAAATACCTGTGTGGGTGAACCAATCAGAGCAAGCTTCGAACTGGGACAAAACTTTTGTGTCACGTGATAACGGCACTGTGCGATGCAATGATTGGCTGATCAATATCACGTGCTGTACCTGTCGGTAATTTTTCTCTCGTCATGATGCTATTTTAAGCACCAGTTTCCCCCCACCTCCTCTTGTTTACCAAGGATAGATTTTGCATGACGCGCGCGATGGTATACAGCCGTCTAGTAGCATAATATGGGCAATCTGGAGCTTTATATCAATTCCCTAGAATGTGGAAAAGTTACCCGTATAGAATGGAAGTTCCCACAGAAAAGGAAAGTACCCACAGAAAATGAAAATAGAATAATAACTAAACAGTGTCCATGTCTGCCAAATTCTTACAAGCAATTGATTTGCATATTATAGCTTAATGAAAATCAAGCAGATGTGAGGCGTATACTACTAGTATACCAATCCCTAGAGAGTTACGATATTACCCCCGGCCCCACAGTCTGCTTGGTTTTCATTAATATGGTAATAAGAGCTACAGTAAAAAGTTAACTTCTGCAAAGACTGACCATTTCTGACAAGGAACACCAGATCATAAAATCAAGTTTTGACATAGAAGAATGAAGCAATTTGAATTAAGACAATAAGTAGGAATACAATAGAGACCGTACTAAGGAGTTCATTCTGAAAACAAGTACTAATTGACCCTGATGAGTCACATGAGAATCACAATAAAAAAGATTCCCAACGCCATATTAAGAGGCAGAGATTTCTTTATTGCGCAATGCTGAATAAAACATACCTCGTAACATCAACTATGCCCAGAACTGTCCAAACTAGTACAGACTAACAGAACATTGACTGTCCTTTTGCTTTTTTTGACAGACATTAATTGCTATTTGGTGGTAATCTTAGAATTTAATACTGACAAGTGCACAATGCTACAAACATACTGTGCCTGGGCTTTGAACATGTATACTACTAGTAGTAACTTAAAAAAAGTTGGTATAACATGAGTTTGGATATAACAGACTATAAGTATATCAAAGAGATACATGTATGCCACTATAACATTAATACTACTACTTCAGTTCAGTTCTACTATGTGCCGATAATATAAGTGAAGATTACAACATACTTACATAGCTTGAAAGAAGCATATTATTGTACTTGGCCCCAAATCAATGTATTACAAGACTGAATAGAATTACTCAACTAACAAGGTACATGTACCTGTATTATAAGTGTTTGACTCATCAGAAACCAACAAACTACACATGGAAATGTTAGTCACTGTTTGTACTTTCTAATGATGTTTTCATACATGTATATAATATAAAGAACGTGGAATATTCAGGACAGTGGTTGGTTCCTAACTGAATTGAAGAAGCCCTACTAATATATACAGCTATATACAGTTTTAACAAGCCTGGTTAGTCAGCTTAACTACCTGTAACTTACAGTTCTGATTGTAGAACGAATACAAAAGTCTACTAATATAATGTCTCTAACAGTAAAGCTTTCAAACTGTAGATTCTACAGAATATTAGTTTTCCACACATTGCAGCAGAATTGTTGAAATTGCAGCCTGCATTCTACATGTATCTTGAACTTAAGACCTCAAATCAAGGATGTTCTATCAGATAGTTCTTGATAGAACGTCCTCGCTCAAATTCAGTGACCTGTGACTATTTGTAACATTCATGGCACTGTAGTCATTTCAAACTTCAGACACAACTGGAGGACAACCTACTATAACAAGTTCTAATTTCTCATCTTTTGTTTTCATGCAATGTGATGAACTAAATGATACCTGGATGATCATTGCAAAACGTTTGCAATTTTGTTGTAGAGGAAACAGAGTAACAAAACATTTCAATGATTAGAAAGACTTCAAACGAAGTGTGCGATGTAGTTAAATTTGGCAGTTGTGACAAAAATTCACAAGAAATAAAAATGGGTAACTTTTCTATCTCTACACCATAAATCTATGATCCTACAAGAACCTAAAAGAAAATCTTCATAGAAGAAGAAAAAATATGTTTTGCATAAATTTCTCCCAAAGCTGACAAATTAGCCTCACTGGTAACTAAAGTTAGCCCTTCAAAACCAGGACTGTACTGACTTAAAGGCATCCAATACAATTTCAGGGGAAAACTGGATTTACAGTTTTATGGTCATTCTATAGATCTTTTAATATAGTAAGTTAAAACAACCCTTTAGTATTCTGATATCTGTGGGGAAAAAATGTCATGTGGCTGACAAAAATGGCAGTAAAATGTTAATATCAGACGGATTTTGTCATTTGGAATATTTTTGTTTTGCTGCCCCGAAATTGCATCAGATGCCTTTACAAGGAGGAGGAAGGGGGTTAATTTTGTACTCCAGTCTCCTGTTTTGCACAATATCTACCCAAAACTGACGAATTAGCCTGCTGTTACCTAACATGTAGCCCCTCAAAACCAAGACTGACCAAGGGGTGCAGCAGGAGGAAAGGGTTAATTATGTACTCCTGCTTCTTCGTGAATCTCGCACACTTCCTTCACCAGCAGGTTTCTAGTCAGCATCTTTTCCATAAGGCTGTTATCAGCAGGCATAGTGGAGTACCACAGGGGGCTGTCCGGCACACACGACCGCTCCGGTAACAGGTAAAACAGATCATTCCGGTTCCGCGCACTTTCAGGACTGGAAAAGGGAGGAATCAGAGTGTTACACTTTTTTTCGGTTAGCTTTTGTTTTTGTTTTTTTGTGAAGAAAGTTGTGCTTCCTGTGGTGAGACATTGCCTGGGGATCTAGTGCACACAGAGAAGGCTTTTGTGTTAATTAGGCCACATCAATTTAATTTGTTGGTTCTCGGATTTTTCAGAATAAATATGAAGCTACAGGACAAAAAAAGGGTTAGGCATCCTATTATAGCCCCAAATGCAACGATAGGAGCCATGAAGTCAACACAAAAGGCTGGGTTGATATTTAAACAATGAATTTTGAACTTTTAATCAAACCACTGCATTGATAGATGGAAAAACTGTGACAACTAGGAAGGAAATGACATTCCTCAACTGTTGGGGAATATGAGCATTTTTGAGTTGATTCAAAATTTTTTTTTTTTGCAAATCAGAAAAAAATGAAAAGGCGAATCCATGAACCAACAAATTGAATTGGTGAGGCCTTTGTCTAGTAATCCATGTTTCTCATCAACATGTATGTAGACAAGGAAAGAAGTTTAAACACTTGTTAGTCACACTCACAAGAGAAATAGAGAACACAGCATGATAGAAAACTTTACAGAGGAAATTTTTTTTTTTTTAAGAATGGTGATGAGAAACAAGAAACTGTGTGTAACGACCACAGCAGGGTCCACAGCAGGTCACCTCACCACAGCCTAATACTCACTCATGCTTGGGAGAAATGAGAGTTTGATCAGTCTTCCGCGGCCTCCTCGAGCGCGTTTTGTACGTCCTTGACCATCAGGATTCGAGCCAGCATCCTCCCAGCCAAGTCTTCAGGTAAGGGCTGACGGGAGTACCACAGGGGGGAGTCTGGGACACACGAGCGCTCAGGAACAAGGTAAAATGCGTCGTTACGGCCCTTCATCCCCTCAGGACTGGAAACAAACGGGCCACGGTTTAACAACATGGGTGGGAGGGATGGGATATGAGAACTGTTAGTGTACATGTGTGATAGCAACAGAGAAGTCAAATAGTTTCTACAGGGCTTGAAATGTGTTTTTTTCTGCATAACTGCACTGGTGGAATTAACACTGAAAATTACCTACATTGTACATCACTCAGAATTTAGGAAATATGGATCATACCAAAAACTCTTCAGAAACCATAGCCATTATTTATTTTATATTTCATAGGTGGCAACAGTTAATGCAGCAAATAAAAAATTAATCCCGATACACTGCATGCTCTCATAAATCAAGTACATGGTTACCAGTACAGGTTAGGAGCACAGGTCAGAAATACCAGCATACAGCTCCAATTTTACCTGCACTAACCTGCATATGTAGGTGGTATTTCAAGCCCTGTTACTAGTATCTCAGGAGGGTAAGAATGATACTGAATGATATTCAAGCTGGAAAAGATCATGAAATGTAAGTACATCAAAGAGGAAGATACTGGCATACATGTGCCACATCTCCCAAGAGTTAGGTGCAATGCTGAGGAACATACAAATCCAGACATTGTAAGTTAGTACAAGAGATATTGGAGGGAAGGAGGAGCTAAGGTAGAAGGTAGAGGGAACAGAAAGACCAGTGAACAGGAGATTCAGTTAGTATCAAGCACCAAAGCCTTATAATTACAACTTACAGATACTATTACAAGTTCTCAGAAATGGTCATATTATTGTTAAGCATCCCTTAAAACAAAGGCCGCACTGATGTAATGTTATGGATGACATCTGCATGCCCATGATTTTCGCCTGTTCTCAAAAAAATAAACTGTGAGATTGCTGTGACACCGGCTTGTCGTAAAAGTTGCTAGTATGTACTACCACAAAACAAATTCACAGTACCAGCTATGCATTCCAGTGGTATAGCAGCAATTTTGTTTGACTGGAATCTTTTTTATTTGCCTGAGTGCACTTGTTTGGGGCTTTTAGAGGATTTAGAGGATAAAATTAAGTCAGTGTGACCTTAGGAATGGGACGTATATGTATGTTTTAAAGTTTAAGGCATGTTGTCATGTGTAAAGCTCTTCTCAACTCACCACTTGGACAGGTAGAACTCGTACAGCTTGACAGGACACCTGAGAGGGATCTCTGTGTTCTCAGGGATCTCCAACACCGGCGAGTCATCTCGCTTCCTCTTTCCCCCTGACACCTCTGCAAGAGGAGAGAAAAAAACCGAGAAGGTTTACAAACATGAACAGAAGGAGGTAGGAATTTCTGAGGTCTTAAAGCAATGGCAGTTTCTAGCTTTAACAAAAAAATTGTACAGAGTGGAACACACTATATCTTAGATTGTACAAAAAAAATGGTTTTCTGTTTCAAAAGAGTTGTCAACTCAGTCTATCTTACATTTAACAGCTACATCTTTTAGTTATTTCTAGGCCTAGATGTGTGGTATGTTCCCCAGGCTGAAAGAAGAAGAGGAAGCAGAGCAAAAACAAATTGAATGTGTTTTCCTTCTGTGAAGCAAAACATAAACTTGAGACAAACAAAAACCAGTAATAAATGCACCTTTCTGTGAGGGTGGCTGGTAGAAACAGAGCCAAAATAATCTATTTTCCTTGGGCAAAGGAAAGCCCTTCTTGTTTGAGTAATTAAGACATGTTAGGTTTTATTCGACAATAGGTCTTATTCAACACATCTATTTTATTGTTTGTTCCTTTCTTTATGCAGTTTGCCATACATTGTACCATGTGCAATTGTCGTGCAATAAAGCTCTTCTATAAAAAAGACAAACAAAACTAGTAACAAACCCACCTTTCTGTGTCTGTGAGGGCGGCTGGTAGAACCTGAGCAAAAACTGTGTGCTTCCCTTCTGCAAATGTAAACATACAGAAAAACCAAACTAGTAACAAACCCACCTTTCTGTGTCTGTGAGGGTGGCTGGTAGAACCTGAGGTACACGCTGCGCTGGTTAGGCTTCCCTGACGGGTGTTTCTTCCAGTGTTTCATGATGTGAGAGAAGGACAGCTTCATGTGTTCCTCTGGTGTTCGCAGCAGGAAGTGTTTTGTGTTGAAGTACAGCAGGGTGTTGAGCAGGACGAAGGGGGAGTGGGCTCCCAGCTGTTTACACTCCCACAGGATCTCCTCTTCTATACGCCACTACAGGGAGACAATAGGAGTAGTCTTCATGTAGTTCAGAAAACGCCAACGGGAGTAGGGAGACAACGGGATAAGGCCACACCAATTTAATTTCTTGGTTAACGGATTCGCCCGCTTCATTTTTTTCTGATTTGCAAATAAAAATAAAAATTCAGAATCAACTGCAAAATGCTCATATTTTGCCCTGAACAGTTGAAAACAGTCCTTTTCATCCTAGTTGTTACAGTTATTCCATCTTTCAATGCAATGGTATCATTAAAAGTTCAAAATTCATTGTTTAAATTTTGAACCAGCCTGGTGTGTTGACTTCAATGCAATTATTTAAGGCCATCCAATGCGAAATCGAATCTTCGTCAATTTACAATCACGTACAGAGGCCCAACAATTTGGAACAACCTAAGTAGAACTTTACAAATTAGTCCCTCCGTCACCATTTTCAAAAATCATACCAAAGCAACTTACATAAATAACCCCACACATTCTTAATTATGGGTTCACCACACCACGAAGTGGTGTGGTGAAACCATATTGCTTTTTCTGATGTTTCTTCTTCTTCTTCTCCTCCTTCTCCTCCTTCTCCTGCCATTTTTTAAATGGATTCAGCTTCTTCATTTTAGGGCCTAAGGTCCTGAAATTTGGTATGGAGGTACAGTGGGCAAATACCCCTAGGCGTTTTTTAAATTATTGTGATACAGGCTTTTAGAATGGTTTTATTTGAGTTTTTTGGCTGTGTTATAGCAAATGTATTACTGTGTTAGTTTGCCTTGTTTACCACGTTTGGGCATGAGTCATCAGAATGGAATGCAGGGCATCAACCAATAGGCATGCAGCTTTCCTCTATACTTCTTGCTGATTGGCTGTTGGGATTTAACTTGATTAACACCTGCACAGAAGCATTTCCATACTGACAGTATGTCTGTATTCAAGTGTTTTGGTAGGTATTTCAAGCTTTCCTGCTCCAGCATTGGAATGCCGGGCATGGACGTTTTTTTTATTTTGAAAATCAACAGTTTGCATTATGCAATTAAAAATCCTAACCAATAAAGTAGGGAATAGCTATCCAACTGTTGTTTTAGTTGTATTTTACTTCATATTATAGTTATATCAATGTAAATCATTGTTTTCCCTTGTGTTTCTCATTCTTTCCCTGCCATGTGGTAAAATGTGGTGAACCCATCGCTGTATTTGCTCCAAAGCAAATATTGGCCTTTCTAGTTTTTGTTTAAGTTTTCTTGTTTACTACTTTTCATTTACTACTTTTCATTATTGTAGATAGTATTGTATCGTATTGTATTTTATTGTTTTGTTTCATTTACCCGTTACCTAGTAAGTTATTTCTTATTTATCCGATTAATTTGAATTGTTAATTAAGTTATGAAGGGAGGCCTCCTCATAAGCATTTTATGCTTCCGGCCTCCCTGCACTGTCACATTTCATTTATATTTTCTTGTGTCTGTATTTTGTTTTAAAGTGCGAATAAAAACTGAAACTGAAACTATCGTACCATTTTGAGCCATAATAGGATGCCTAGGCCTGTTTTTATTTTTATTTTTTTTTCGCCCGCCCGCTCCATTATTTTTCTAGAAAAATCCATTAAATTAAATTGGTGTGGCCTAATGATAAATGATTTATTGGTCAAACATTACTCGTGCAATTGCAGCCAACATTTTTCATTGTTTTCTTTAATGGTTGTTGAACGTTAGATCAGAATTTCGCCCATTGCAAACAACATTTTTGCACACAACATTTGAAAACTATAGACAAGATAATTATCATCCTTGAATGCGCAAACATGACCTTCAACAAGACATTATCCTCAAATCCTATGCACAATACATTATAGGCAGGCGCAGTGTGCTCTGCCAAACATGCTGCCTAAGAATGAGAGACATAGATCAGTTGTGATGTATTTTATTATATCTTGCATATATTGACTGTAAATTGTAGTGGTGTGTCTGATTGCAATAACCCTGTTAATACAATGTATGTTGTGTATACCTTATTACCTTTACTTATATATTGTATAGTAGGTATCCTTCCATCTCGAAAAATATTGTGTAAGTGTATAATAATTTACTAATTGGTACATGTATAATGTATTATCACCATAATTCAGTCTTATTACTGCAAGTGTGATATGTGTGTATGAAATGTAAAATAAGCCATTTGTTCATACGTACAGGAATGATGCCCTCCAGGCTGACCCTGGTGAGGTACTGCTGCAGCAGGCTGTGCAGACTCTCCACAAACTGCAGGTAGTACACGTCTGTGAAGATGTTGTCTATCCTGCCGTTCTCATACAGGTACTGCTGCAGGCCTACATAACACAACACAGATCAGTTAATACATGTACACACACACTACCCGGTATCCTGCCGTTCTCATACAGGTACTGCTGCAGGCCTACATAACACAGATACATGTACATGCACAGGTACAGTTAATACTCTAACTTGTTCTGATGGAAGTACTTAAAAACTTGCACAAAATGCTTTACTACAGACAAGTCTACAAGTACACACACACGCACACACATGCACATAATCTGCATTCACACACACATAAACACTAACACTAACACAGACACATACACACAAATGCAAACACACACACACATACACAAAGCACACGAATGCCTAAAAAATGTTTCAGAAAAGTACCACAGTGCTCATAATTGCAAATACCTTAAAAATGTTACATAATGATGTACATGACTGTACAAATGTATCATTCCTCAATACTGTTTTTCTAAAACAAAAACAGCATCTCTTGAAATTTGTAAACTTGTTATAGACAATACAAGTGCTTGTTATCAAAACCATCCTGACAGAGACTGTTCTCTCACCCAAACAGAGGTACAGCACACTGTCTGCTGCATACTCCTCTCCGTTCGGCTTCCGGACTTCTTGCACGAACTGGGAGAGGGCAAAGTTCATCTCATACGCGTTCATCTGCAGGATGTCCTCTTTCATCCTGGCCACTGCACCGCCCTGTAGAGACAAGCAGGCCTCAAAATCACCTCTTTTCCCTATTGTCCCAGCAATTGTTCCGAAAATAAATTTCAATTGTCCCGAACTGAGGATGACTGGTCTCAACCTGTTTTTTCGGGAAGTATGTATGACAAAAACTTCCAGGCACACTATTAGTATATTGCAGAGTTTGGGGAGAAATTTTGCAGAAATTTGGGGGGCTTTTCCGGAGCCAAAAGCCAGGAAGCGTGCCTGATCAACTAAAGAAGGGCTGACATGGGCCCAATTTTACCTACACTCACCTGCATATACCCAGTACATGGACCAGTGCATGCAGACATCAGAAATACCTGTACAACCCTAATTTTACCTAGTACACTAACCTGCATGTGTATGTGATATTTTGAGCCCTGCAAACAAATGGACCAACAATCAAAGAAATGATGGTGGATCTACAAAGAGAAAGGAAAACAACAGCTACCTTGATGTCAGCCTGTGCTGTGTTCCTCTGCACAGCCCAGTGTCTGAAGGCGTTGACTCCGTACGAGTACTTGAGGTGCATCCCGTCCACGGTGCCGAGCGGGGCAGGCGACGCAGCACGGGCCTCCACAGCCTGCCGCTTCCTACCTCGGCCTGTACATGGAAGTTAAGTTTAAGTCTTGTTTATTGTCCATTAAACTGATCTCTATCAGTTTGTACAGACTGAATTTCCATACATACTGACACAAAAGTTAAAGTCCTTCCTGCAACTATACACGGTGCATGTGGCGGCACCCATCTCAGTTACTGTAGCCCTTGGACCACACAGTTGGGCAATCATTACAGCAGGGTACTAATGGAGTGTGTTTATACTTTTAAGTTCCATATTTTTTCCAAATGCTGTGTGATAATCAAAGAAAGCAGTATGTACCATTTTTTAATTGAACTTAAGGGAATTGAACTTACATTGTATGACCACCCCATGGATGGCGAACACTTACTATTATTTTCAGGGCAGAAATTGAGAAACACAACAACAATGTTCCCGGGCCTCAGCCTGTCCACCTCACCTCTCCTGCCCCTGGCGGCCTTGCTGCGCTGCTTGCCCCGCTGCCGTGGAGTCACGATGGAGGAGTCGTCTATCGTAGCCAGACTGTCGGAAGATTGCTCTGCAAATAACAATCAACGAAAATGTTCTGTATCTGTATCTGTATCTGTATAGCCGGTATAACCGCCTTTCGGCGTAACACACCAGCTTCGCAGGCACGCGGCGCGGCGGCAGCTGGCTATATTACACCGATCGACTTGTTACACCTAACCTTTGAACTTCTAGCTCTAGAAATTGTTAAATCTCACAATGTGTTAATTCCTGGAATCACACAAAAACAGAGTTAGAAACCTTTATACTTAGCTAAAATAAATGGCGTTTCTCTACAGACTTCAGTTTGAATGCAATCTATAGTAGATACTCTTTTTCAATTTCCCTTTTTTTAATGAGTACCTGTGGGAAGGTTAAACCAGCAAACTAGCCCCCTGCTTTGATGCTTGCACGACTGAGTGGCTCAAGGGCTATAAAAATGGATATAGCACCAATGAGACTTAAAACTGGGCATGTCTTTCTACCAGTCCTCTCCATTAGGAACAAAGATTTGTTATGATTTGTACACCAGTGCATTTTGTACTAAGTCTTGTTCATTGCTGATGCTACTCTCATCTGCGTATTAGCATCTTGCCCTATCCTTTCCTAGGAATAAATGCGAATAAAATAATGGAATAAAGCACGATGTCTCACCCAGTGCCAGGTCATTCTCCAGGTCGAGAAGCGGCTCGTCGAAGATTCCGCTCATTTTCTCTGCCATGGCGAGGACGTCGTGTCCCAGCAGGTTGGACGGGATGACGGAGGCAGCGTCCTCCAGGGACAGGTCCGAGTCAGGAACCGCGTCTTTCACTGCGAGGAAGGTATGATACCGACAGGTTGGAACTTTTGTTTCAGACTCAGAGCAGGCGAGGTTTTGTCATTTGTATCTATGGGTCAATTGTTCTTTGCTGCTCTTTGGTCAACAGTTTACCATCTCGATTTGCAGACACTGAGATCTTGGCATAAAGTTCCCTTCAGCCGTTGAAAGCTGATTTCCAAGGAAGCCCATGGAAACATGATACAAGAAAGTAATATAACATTAAGTACTTAAATTTACAGTATTCACATTTACAGGAAAAATTACTTGCAGGCTGCGAGTGGATCTGGCACAGGTAGACATCAGAAATACCTGCATGGCTCCAATTATACCTGAATTAAGGTGCAAATGCACCCTGTATTTGGAGCCCTGCTGCACCAGTGCAGTGTATTGCTCCTTGACTTACATGCAGCGAGTGGATCCGGCACATCTCCGTCCTCCGAGCTGTCGTCCTTCCCCGTCTCAGCCTCCTTCTCCTCTCTCCTGGACGCCTCGTCCTCCCCGGCCACCATCTCTGCCATCAGCAGGATGTCTGCTTCAAACGGGTTCGATGGGATCTTCTCCTGTAATTGTAAAGGTCACACATAAATCATAAGGTCCTGGGTTCGAATCCTCGCCATCTCAGCCATCAGCAGGATGTCTGCTTCATGGGATCTTCTCCTGTAAGGTTAAAGGTCATACTTCTCACTAGGCTGTTTCAGCGTAGTGGCCCCCTATGCTGTGATTTGGACTCCAATGCTGTGATTTAGCTCCCTGCACTGTCTTTCAACCAGTGGAAGGCCCCAGTGTTGTGTCCTTAGGAGAGGCACTTTACACCTATTTCCTCTCTTGACTTATACGTAGTTGAAAATAAGTACCTAGCACACACACTCACACACAAACACACAAACTTGAACACTCTTGAATAGGACGTAAAACTGAGGTCCTCTAAGCATTCTTACATACATACATGTACATAGGGAAATAAAACTAGTAAAACCATAACTGTTTCATATTGAACACATAAGAAATGCTCATCCTGACCTTGATGTCCTCCATGGTCTTGAGCAGCTGGTCGGTGTTCTGTGCCAGGGTGGGGATCCACATGGGGACTGGGACAGGCAGGGGCATGGGGAGGGGGTGGGGGACGGGGTTGTTATACATCATCATAGGGACCGGGACGTAGATCGGCACCGGGATGGGGACTACCACCAGTTTGGGCTTCCAGTCCTCTTCTGGGGAAGGAAAATATAACACATGATAACTTTATAACATTTATCATTTTAACCAATATCTTTTTGTTTAAATCAAACAAGTACAATGTATGTCCACCAGTCTGGGCTTCCAGTGCTCTCCTGGGGAAGGAAAATATAACACACATTTGTAACATTTATCATTTTATCAGATATGTTTTTTTTTAAATAAAAAATCAAACAAATACAATGTGTGCCCACTAGTTGTCAAAGTTGTCCCAACATCAATCTGTTGCCTGATAAGTTGGGGAGGTTAATAAAATGCTCTGACAAAAAAATGAAGCGGGCGAATCCGTTAACCAAGAAATTAAGTTGGTGTGGCCTAAGAATATGAAACAGTATTTTGAGGTTATCGGCTAACCTGTAGAAGTGCCTTTGGACGTGGTGTGAGGTTTGCAGGACGTTGCCTTGGTCTGCATGAAGGGTCGACACTGGAGAGACTTGTTCCTCAGCTGCTTGGGTGGCGGGGCAGGGGCCTGCTGTACCACGACCTGTGGCTAGGGGGCATCGTTATATTAGCTGGAGTCATTGTCTGACATTTTGTCTACCAGTTGCACAGGAAAGTTCTTAAATGCTCTTAAACACTCTCCAATAATTTGATAATGTCAATGTAGAATAGTTCAAAAGCTAAAGGAAACTTGCCACAGCAAGATGCAACTCAGAATGGCCTTGTTGTAATTTTCCTATATTGTATACACCTCAAATCTTGCTGTCTGCTGTCTTAAAGTCTACCATCCATAAACATATAGTCCATTTTTCTTAGACCGGCAAATTTTGCTTCCTAAAATTTACAGTGATTAATTTTACAGTATTTACCTGGGTTTGCTGAGGCATCTGCTGCAGGGGCGGCGGCTGGCGGGAAGCGATTTGAACCGGTTTTGATCCGGTTGCGGTTCGGGTGCCGTAGCTGTGGGATGGCTTGGGCGACTCGCCTGACAGAAAATCATTTAAAAGGTATAAAAATGGAAACATCGTTTTTTTAATATATATATATTCCAACATGTAATCACAAGACGTGGTGACGGCACACTCAAGTTTTTCAACTTATATTAATGCCGCCACAAACACAGGGGACAATACAATACTCATTTTCAACTGAGCGAAGTGAGGAAAGTCGTGTAAAGTGCCTTTCCCAAGGGCACAAGATCGGTGGCATGTCAGGACTCGAACCCTGGACCTCTTGGTTCCGAGTCGAGCACTCTGCCGCTATGCCACACGACCCCACATAGACTGGTTATACACAGTACATTGTCAAGACAGATCAGGAGAATGCAAACTCCTTGCTAAGTTTAATATAGCCAAGGCCTAGGAAAAAATTTTTTCTTCATCCATGCATTACTTATCCTCACCTTGTGGTCCTCCTGCCAGTGACATCACTGATGAGATGATGGGAGTTGAGGTCTGTTGGGACGTCCCTGGGAAATAACAAGATACGCACAACTTAGTAAGAAAAAGGCTAATTTTTGTAATGGAAAATAGCTAGTAAAAACTAAAAAATACCTAAACTAAAAATACCTAAATAAACACACACACACACACACACACACACACACACACACACACACACACACACACACACACACACACACAGTATTCAGATTACAGTATGACAAGAAATATCACATCCTGACTACATTCTTCAAACCTTCCACCCAACTAAAAAGACTGCAGTACCATACATTGTTCCTACACAAAAATATGGAAGCTTTAAACATGCGCCATAACAATGAAATATGAAACTCAAGAAATCGTGTTACTAGGACAGGATACCAGTAGAAGATGGTTGTAC